TGAATTAATATATGGTGATTAAAGGCCACCAGATGCATTCATCTTTACATGATATAGATCATGTTTGTCCTCAAGTTCACCCATTCCAGACCGTACTATTTTATGAAAATGAATTTTTGTAAACTTTAAATCAAATTATAAAGGGGCAAACTTATACATGAACTCTTGTCACACTAACCTCTCAAGGCTTTGTGAAGAAAGCAACCACACAAAAATATCCATTTCTGATGGTTAAATTAATAATAAATGCCTCACATATATTAAGTAAGTAGTATCCAATAAAGCAAACTATTAGATTTTCTCCTAGATAGGAAGAGTGTTTGGGTTTCGGAGAGCCTCTTTATAACTTTATCCAGTTGCACCTTTCAATTAGCTTGAATAGTGTTTCCAACCTAGTCTAACCTGGGACCAAGAAGGATTGCGAAAGAATCCATAGCAACTTTTTTGCGAGCTAGATGAATCCATAGTAAGATTATGTCATATCAAATCTAAGTTAACTTAATAATATCCCAAAAACTTAGTTTTTGCTCTCCATAAGGTTTTCACACCTTATGCGACCTTGGGTGATTATAGCTATACATTTAGATCTAATGGTAATTTTGAAACCTACTCATTCTGAGTATAAGCAAGAGGTTACATTGAGTTAAGCCATAGTTAAAACTATTTCAAAGTAACTAAAAGTGCCCCAGAGAGAATACTTAAATAAACCAATATTTATAGCTTATTTGAAAAAAAATTGTCTAAACATGACCTGGCAGGAAATGTTTTACATTAATATGATAAGTAAAATATGGGATATATAGAGCAGAATGAAAGCAAATTTGACCAATTGTAGAGCCATTAAGCGAAAAAGGCAGTTTGAACAACACCAAAGAATCACTTTACTATCCCTATCAGTTATTAACTTTAATATAATAAAAAGTCCTACATGCCCAGTGGCTTCGTCTGAGACATTTAAATGAGAGCTGAGTTTTAACGCAGTGTAGTATAAGTGGTATATACAGGAATGGGTTACCCGTTACTGTGTCTAAATTATGGCTCTAATAGGATATTTTCATTCTTATGCGTCTTAACATATGTAATACTATTATGATGCTTAGAGGGTTATACTCATTAAGATTAAAATAATTTTACATGACACATACAAGATCCTCCATGTAACTAGTAAATAAGATAGTTAACTTAAGGATTTTTTGCCCATTTGAAATCTAGAAGCTTGGACGGAGCAAACTTTGTTTGATCCAGGACGTTATAGAATAGATTAAACCAGAGAAATGCTTTGCTTGAATAAAGCATACAACATACTTATTGGACTGCATTGCCTTACAATGCTTACTGAAAGATAAAAATCTAAGGCAAAGCCCTTTGATGAACCCAACCTCAGAAAATTCATTTGTGCAAAATATTAAAACACTTGGTATCAACCTCTCTATAGTGAATGCATTTTGGACCATTTTCGCTCATTTGTTCAATATCTTTGTTAAAAAGAAGTCATTTTAATAACACAAAGAACATATATTTTTAAATGATTTCCAAACCTCAAATGTGAGAATGGTGTTGGCTACAGGGAAGCAGGCGGAAGCTTCATAATAAAGTAAAGATATAGCTTTTGTATATCGTATTAGTGAAAATTTAGTCGGATAACAATACATTTAAGGGAATAGTTCATTTAATAGAAATGAGACTTGTCAAACATATTCAAAAACTAAGGATTTTGTAGGAATTTTATAGTTCAAAAAAATGGGATAAGTGTTGGAGAAGTTTATTTTGAAGTAAACGCAAAAGTTAGGAATGATCATTATTTATTTTAACAGGACTAATTGGTTTCTTTAAAATAAGGAGCTGCAAAATTAATTGCGATGTGAGGCGCCATTCACTCAGAAGTATTTTCGATATAAATAGTTTTCGAGGCCTATTCACCTGGTTGTGGTCATATTTTTAGACTTATACTGCATTAAGTTTCAAAACTATCATAGGCCCTCGCTTTGATTCACCATGACCAAAAAAAGCTAGCGGAACAGCATCGTAATACAAAGTATATTTTCCCTTAAAAAAGTTCCGCATAACAACATCAAAATTTTATAAAGTCAGATTTTGGATGTTTCCTGAATTTAGAATTAACCTAATTAAATTAAGAACTAAAAGCGACAACTAAACTTGACATCTGTCTAAATGGTTCTTATGCTTTACCTATTGATACGCGCCCTCTTCAGCGCTTCGTTAACCTTCATGCTCGTTTTTTAATACATCTAATGCATGTTCTCCCCATACCCTTATTATTTTCTTTAAACAACAATGAATCTAAGTTATGATGTATGTGGGGATTGTGAAACTCCTGATCCTCAATGGGTCTCTGTCAACAAAGGCGTTCTTCTCTGCAATGAGTGCTCTTCTATTCATCGTCAACTTGGCCGTCACATCAGCCAAGTAGCTTCATTTTTTATAATAAATATTTTCAAGGTTAAGCACCTAAAAAAATCTCGATGGAGGCCTACTCAATTGGCGATGGTTCATCATTTAGCAGCAGCTGGCGCCAATCGCTTTTGGGAACACATGCTATTTGAGCCTATGCTGACTGGGCAAAATGCTGCGAAAATTGAGATTAAGCGCCCGGAGAGGAAACCAAAACCTGATGATCCAATGCATCCAAATAAAGCTGATTTTATTCGAGAAAAATACATGTTTCTTGGGTTCTTCAAGAAGCCTAGACATCTTAATATTGAAAATCTTAGTCACCAGCTGCACGCTTGTGTCAGAACAGGTGTTCTACAAACTAGTCTTTATCTTCTCGCTTTGGTAATTATTTTAACCTAAATTTATATACTTCTTGCTTCACATACGAGTTATTTTTACTCATATACCTCTATATGCCAGTTTATTCTTTTGTCTGATGCCGAGGGCATCTCCGTAATGAAGTCTTTAACTACTTTTATGTATTAATAAAAATGTATTTAAGCTGGTTTTATTTTATCAGGTGGACTGTTAAGTCCTTTCGTCATATCTATCAGGCTATTTTGTTTCTTAACGCTTGATTACTTTATTTCACTTTGGCGTATTTACCTTTATTTTAAATATCTGTACTTTTTTTACTTGCAGGGTGCAAATCCAAATTTTATGCATACTTCAAAGGGGACTTCTCCTATGCATGTTGCCTGTCAATATGGCCAAGTAGGTCAGCTTGAGCTGCTCATTGCTTATGGTGGTGATGTGTGTATACGCGATACTTTTGGTCTTACTCCGATTGATGTAAGCTATCCTTTAATACCACCTCGATGTACTTTTTAATATTTTACTTTCGGAAATTTAGATTTTGTCTCTATTTATCTGATTACTCAATTTTATTTAGCTTTTATATATATGGATTCAATAGCCAAAAAAGGATTTTTTTTACAGTACATTTATTTTATACTCTACATAATTTCGGCTGGTTTAAAGTAAAATAAATTTTTATGACTAAATCAAGCCAAAGACTTTATTTATCGTCATATTAAGATAAAAGCAACCGTTCCTTTCAGAAATTTGGGGAAATTGCTGGCGTGTCATACTAATTATCAAGATGTTGGTCTCTAAACATATCTTAAAGCCCAGAGGCATTTCGACGCTTCTCTCCTTAGCGCTTGTCAATAACGGCGTTCTTACGAGCAAAATGTCAAAACACATTGATTATACTAGACAAGTACTTAAAAGTTTGCTTAGACAACCAACATGATTTACTGATTCTTCAGATATATATGAAATAT